TGTGATATCAGATTTGCATGATGAAATGTCGAGTCCAAAGAACTGTCATCTGAAGTGCCAAAGTCGTAAGATTTTTCCAAAACATGCGAATCAGGATGATTCTGTTTAACATGAGGATAATAAGATTCCGGTTGATTGGTAGTGTATCCACACTCTTCACAAATGTAAATTTTTATTCTCCTCCTTTCCTTGTATGTGTGCGAAATACCATGAACTTCAAGGTCCGACGTGATATCAGATTTACATGAAAATGACGAGTCCAAAGAATCGTCATCTGAAGTGCCGTAAACGTCGCATAAGAATGATTGTTTGTATTCACAAAACGATGATTCCAGGTCTTGATTGTCATCAGAATCACTAGTGGTATCCATTCCCACGTCATTTAGGGTACTCGGTTGATAAGAAGAAGACGGTGATTGTTCAGGCACATCAAACACTGAGGATGGATCAGATTTGAATATATCGTCATCTGAAGTTTCCCAAACGTCGTTATCAAACAAGTGTAATATATACTCATCAAATAATGATTCCATGCATTTACTGTCATCAGAATTGCATGAATCACTAGTGATGTCCATTGCATCGTCACTTGAGGTACTTGGTTGATAAGAAAAAGACGGTGATTGTCCAAGCCCATAAAACACTGAGGATGGATCAAATTTGGCTTTCTCTCGCTCTTCAGCAAGTCTTTGAACACTAGCCTCAGCTAACACGTCAAGAGGAGAAGGGATGAATTGACTAGACATTTTCACTGATATTTCAACTAACTTAGTCGATCGATGAATTTTTAATGGTTGGTTCTTTGAATTTTTTAGCTCTTTTATAGTCGCCCATTCTCACCGCCCATGAATGGTTTAAACCGTTTATTTCACCTCTACTCCCGCATGACCCCAGGTATCGAAACCTCTAGATCACTAACCCGAAGGAAAGGATTAAAATATTAACCGTCTTATCGATAATATACAGTGCTATTTGCTAAGGATTAAAATATTAAGAATGAGGTAATGAAAACTCTTGGCCACTAATTCGAGTTTTTTTCAGTGGATTAAAATGTTTAGAACCTCATCGATAATATACAGTGCTATTCCACCGTTAAATTAAACAAATGTAAATATTAGGTTATATTAAACCATATAAATTTCCCACAGCTTGTGCGAAGCCTTAATGAATCATTAGCTGCTCGAAATTCAAAAAAAGGACGAGATCATCTAATGTGGATGCTTCTTCAATATATTTCTGGTTCCATTCAGAAGACTCCTCTAACAGATTTCTTACCATTCTTCAAACTTCATGATCTACTCTACCCTGAAAAGGATCCTCTTCCTGTTCCCGATATAACTAAACCTATCTGCACTCATACTTTCGCGATCAGTTCCATTTGGACTCATTTGTTGAAGAAAGCAGAAAATGAACCTCAAAAGATGATAAGACCGATTCCAAATTGTCTCAGGCTTCATGTTGAATTTCTTCACCAATCTTTTATGAGCAGTGATCTACCCGCCAGTTTTAAATGATTCTTGAGAATGATCGAATCAATCCAATAGCATACAAAATCTTGGACCGAATTGGAGCCAAAGCTTTATCTTCTCATTTAAGAATCTTGGTGGACTATCTCGTTAATGAATTTACAAATCTCTGTGGGACTCAAAATGTTACTAAATATATTGATAAATTGAATGATTTCATTTGGAAAAGTGCTGTCATAACTCAGGACAGATTACTTTTATATCTGGTAATTATTTTGAAATTTTAATTTTTATCACGTAGCCTTTTATATTTTGTATATTAATAATTTGTATTTACTTAATTTGCTTACAGACTCTGAGAGCTTACGAAGGTAATGAAGCTCAAGTTTCTTTGTTTATCATTCAAATGTTATTGCTCAAAACGACTGATTTTTCCAATCGAGTTGCTGATTTTGTCAGAGAAATGTCTCCAGAACACTGGAAGCAATCAAATTGGCACGAAAAGCATCACGCTCTACACAGAGTAAGATATCGTTTATTATTAATCTTCTAGTGTATTTCAATATTTCTTACTTTTCAAGAAAATCTCAATGCGTTGTCTATGAATTAAGGTATTTTCACTTCTGAAATTCATTGATATCAATTATATTCATCTTGAAATTTCTCATTCGCATATCAAAAATTTTTAATCTTTCAATTACTTTTTTACAGAAATATCCAGAAAAATTTTATTTCGAAGGGCTCGCAGATATAAGTGGTCAAAATATGCAACATTCATATCTGCCAACTTATTTTAGCAATATTTGTCTTCGTTTTATACCTGTTCTTGACTTGATCATTCATCGCTATCTTGAACTGCCACCAGGATCACCAAGTCCATTGATTGACTCATTGCTAGAAAAATATGGTTGCCTTTATAAATTTCATGATCGTCCATTAACCTATTTGTATGAAACATTACACTATTATGAGCATAAAATGCGAGAAAAACCCGCAATTTCTTCGTGAACGAGTTAAACCAATTATTAAGACTGAAGAACAATTTCTTTTCATTGTCCATATTGTTTGTCCTTTCCTTCAAAGACTCTATGTTGAGCGAACATGTAGAGCTATGGAAGTTACTAGCGAGTTGTACTCTTTCCTCGAGACTATTGATAAAAATTGCACTGAGTTGCGTTTTATGGATACAATAACTGACCTTTTATACCATATGAAATACCATATAACTGGCGACTCTATCAAAGATGATGTTGAAGGAAAAATTCGTAATCTAAGGCACTAAAATCTAGTTGACAGGTGAAAAACTTGATCTCTCATGAAGCTCAGTTTTCAGGATTCAAAGTTTGATTAAGTTATGAATCTGATCAAGTCTTTTAACACGCGTTCGTCTGTGTGAGCCAAAGTTTTTATATTTGAGTAGCTTTTTAAGTATTTTATCTCCAGTGTCACGGTTGATCCGAGGTAATGAAAATGGTCGAGTTTAATAATAATGCAAAAGATTAATGATAAATTATGGTCGAGGAATCGATATTTTCATTCAGCAAAAGGAAAATCAGTATAATTAAATTTGAAATGTCTGAAATGTGCTTTACATAGAGTTACAAGTTTTTAAGCCAAAATCAATAGATTGCTTAAAATTAATGAACAGATTGCTCAGAATCGTAGTCATCAGCGGTGAATTTTTTCTTGTTTAAAAAATTGAGATGCAAGGAGGTTGTAAAAAAATGCAGCAAAAATGGTGATAGCATCCAAAAAATGTCAATAAATTAAAAAAATTGTGGTTGATGCAAATGATGAGACTGATAACAATGGAATTGATCGAGTAATTGATATTTTCATTCAGCAAAGGGAAAGTTGGTATCATTAAACTTGAAAAATCTTTTGTCGTAAAATTTTGCCAAAGCAGGAGAATCAGGATGATTCTGTTTAAGATGGAGATAATGTGATTCCGCTTTATTGGCAGTGTTTCCACACGCCTCGCAAACGTACAATTTAGTCCTCCTTTCTCTGTATGCATATTGGTGCGAAATACCATGGACTTTGCGAGTATGAGATTCAAGGGAACATCTTTGAGTAAATGATTTATTACAATGATTACATTTGTATGGACGAACACCTATTATGTGAACAAATAGAGAAAAAAGAAAGAGATATTAATAATTAGCAATAATCAAGATTAACTGGAATAATTGTTTCATAATTTTCAACGATAATTCATTGAAGCAGTCAAAAGTTAAGATTTCAATAAAATTACTAACCTGTATGAATTCTGGTGTGCCTTTTAAGATCAAAGGTGTCATTAAAGCCTCTGCCACAAAATGTGCATAAATAGCGTTTTATGTCTGAATGACATTTGAGGTGGCGATTGAGTAAACGAGTTAAAGGGAAGCGTTTTTCACATATTGGACACTTCATTGGATCATCTAAACTTGGTTGAATAACTGGCTGAACTTTAGCAGCATTGCCATCAGAAAGTAAAGGATTCTTGATTCCATGTCCTCCATTGACGAAATCAATAAAATTAAACATGTGAAGAGGAATTCCTGTTGAAAATAATAAAATATTTAGTTTCATTGTTGGATCTGAATTAAACTATTTGATGGAGATAAAAAACTTACCTAGTCTTTGAGCAAGAAGTTGAACTGTTGGTGGAAGAGATGGTTCAATCTCACCATTAGATTCAATACGAGATCTTTCAATTGACTCTTTATACATCTTGTCAGTTACGGTAATTCTTGGTTGAGGTGATACTTTCAAGTTAAGAGGGCCATCGCTTTGATTTAAGTTTTTTATTACAGATACTCTTTGACAAATTGAGGCCGTAGTTGAAGATACTGACGATGTGGATGAAGACGAAGGATAAGGTGAATTTGATGGTGAAGATGAAGAAACTCGATTAAATGGTGATGGTGCTACTGATGAGCTCCAACTTGGGAATGATTGCTCTTTAAAATTGTTTGACTCTGCTGTGTAACATGAAGATGGAACCGATGGTAAATTGGATGAGGTTGACTCTGCTCTTGATGAGGAAGCCTCAGATAAATCTAATGGTTGAGATGATGAACTTAACGAAGTTGATGAAGATGCCGTTGAACATGGTTTAGATGATGAGGTCGCTTGATTACCCGGTTGCTTAGATGAGCTTGAACTCTTTCGTTGATCGTCTTTCACATCGTCCTCAGGACTTGTTGGTGGAGTAACTGGACGCCACTGTGACTGGGGATTAGACTCTTTGAGATTCTGTTTTTTAATTAAAAATGCTTTCGGCATTGTAAGGCAACCAAGAATACGTTAAGTACTTGTTGAGTCTTAAACAGAGGAACAGAAAATATGATTTTAGCAAACAAAATCAGAAGAAGCTCATAAAAGAGCAGTTAGAAAATTGTAAAGCTTAAACAGGATAAGAGACAGAAGCACTAAATTGTTTAAATTAAGATTGTTGATTGGAAAGAGTTGACAGAGTTTCTTCACTGTTTCTTAACTTTCTAACTTTTTTCAAGTTAACACACAAACCAATATTCAACTAACTGTTAAACCACTTTCTCTGGCGAGAATAAATACTTTCTCTGTCTCTCTCTATTTTCTCCATCCTCTTAATCTTTTACCTCTCTTTCTTATCTTCCATTTTTTCTCACTCTATGTTACCTGGGCCAGTTCTAGTTCCACCAATCCAATCGCTCTTTTTTTGGCCCAAGAGTTTTTATCCTTAAAAAAACAAAATCTCCAATTTTACTTTACAGTGGATAACCTATCAGGAGAAAGTATCGTTATAATGGTAAATAAGGTAAACAATTAACTAATTGTGAATGGCTAATTGCAAGATAATAATAAAAACTTTGATTCACAAACGGTTTTCCTCAATGAACATTAATTTTCATAACTGTAAATCATTGAGTAACAACGAGGACAGCCCAACGGTTTCAGGTTGTCAATATTTCGAAAACCACTTTTGTAATATTTTAAAGACATTAAACCAGCGAACTGGGCTGTTACTGATGCATACTTGAATTACATGAAGCGTCCTGTTGAAGATTTAGCCTGGAATCCTGAATTAGACTATTATTTCAAACTGATTAGTAGAGTGGTTGATACTTTTCAGGGTAAATCTCCATTTCCACATGTTGATTGGCGTTTCAATGAATTTGCAAATGCTGGTGTTCATGCTCTTCATATTACATGCATTGAACTTATGGCATTACCAGTGGCTGCCAATGTCGTTGCCAATAATTTGATTGATCTTGTTGTTGTTGGACACAAATACATTCCAAGAAATACTATCGAGTTCTGGAACAATGCGATTGGTGTTGTATTAACAGCTTTACCAGAAGCATACTGGTCTGTTATCAATGATCGGATCATAAGCATGATGGAAAGTCCTCTTTTAACTTATTCACCTCATTTTGAACCATTTCAAATGATTAACTTTATGCTGAGCGAACACGTAAAGCTATGGAAGTTACTATCGAGTTGTACTCTTTCCTCGAGACTATTGATAAAAATTGCACTGAGTTACGTTTTATGGACATTGGTTTACATTGATTTGACACATTAAATATGGATTGATTTTAGGGTCTCTGCTTGTAGAAATAAAAGTGAGAACGACAATTAACGTGTCAGTTTGAAATTTGTCAAACCAATATAATACAATGGCAATATATGGCACAATCAAAAAAAAATAAGTTGGTGTAAATTGGGTAAGGAATTGATATTTTCATTCAGCAAAGGGGAAATCAGGATCATTAAACTTGAAAAATCGCCTGTCGTTGACTTTATCCAAAGCGGGAGAATCAGGATGATTATTTTTAAGATGCAGATAATGTGTTTCTGGTTTATCGGTAGTGTTTCCACACGCTTCGCAAACGTACAATTTAGACCTCCTTTCTCTGTATGCATAAGAATGCGAAATAACTCAAATAATTTTTGACTAGCGCCCTCTAGTGTTGGTCAAAATGGTCCATTAATTTTTCTCATAGTCGGCACAAATTTTAGAAACTTGCTTCTATTTAAACTACAATATTTTAAATTCTAGTAAGAATATCGCTTTGATTTTTTTAATTTAACTTCTTCATACTTTCAAAAACACACATGAAAAATTTGATAATATTCCGAAAAGTGGATCTCTAGTTATGGTGACTGTAAAGTTGTTATCATTTTTATTCCGGATATGTTAGTAAAATGCAAAAAAAATCATATTTATTTGGAAAATGGAATTGATTTCAATGAAACAAATAGTGAAATGAAATAAAACTGATTCATATTGGATTTTTTTTTCTTTCTTTTATGTCTTTGGACACTTAATGACACTAAAATTAGTCAAATCCAAAAGTAAAATCGAGAAAAACTTTTACAGAAAAATGTTTAAGTTTCCGTTTTTTATATGACAAACAATATGGACAATGAAAATGAATTGGTGTAATAATTGTTGTGCCGAAGTTCATGAAGAAACTGAGGGATCGTTATGATTTGTCAGATTGATAATTGATAATAAACCATGATTGCTTCTGGTAAAGCACAACAACAATAGCATTGTTCCAGAACTCAAAGGAAATTATTGGAATTGTTTTGTGATAAACGACAGATCAGTCAAATTATCAGCGACGACATCGGCAGCCACTGTTAATGGCTTAAGTAATATGATGTGTGCGTTACATTAATAAGATATCAGAATCTTAAGCAAATAAAAAGTAACAAATAATATTGAATTACTCTGGCTGATATTGCATCAAAACTTTATTCAATTCCTCAAAATCATGAGAAAGCCTGTTTTTGACATCAGTTAAGTTGAGAGATGAGCATGACATCATGAGCGATCAGTGCCCATTCTAAAAATCAGTGAATCCTGTATTTAGCTCAGTTAGTTTGTGTTCATTTTTGGTTACAAAGGTTTATGTGTTAAATCAATGAACCACAATTTGGGCACTAGAATGAGTACTTTTCTGCTTTTTTCTTTTCTCTCTTTTACAATACTAATTGTACCAACACAACAGGCTCAAAATGACATTACCAACGATGACTTTAGTGAATTCGCAAAACTTTTAGTCAGCCTCATGATTGGCAACTCAAGGAGTAGGAATAAAAGTGAGAAAAGCAATTAACGTATCAGTTTGAAATTTGTTTATTAATCAGATAAAAAATAATACAAGGGAGTACAATAAAGTGAGTTTACATGAATTGGCAAAGAAATTGATATTTTCATTCAGCAAAAGGAAAATTGGTATCATTGAACTTGAAATGTTTTTAGTCGAAAAATTCTTCCAAAGCAGGAGAATAAGGATGATTCTGTAAAAGATGGAGATAATGTAATTCCGGTTCATTGGTTCTGTTTCCACACGCTTCGCAAATAAAAATTTTTATCCTCCTCCTTTCCTTGTATTCATATGTGTGCGAAATGCCATTGACTTCAAGGTCCGATGTGATATCAGATTTACATGATGAAAATGTCGAGTCCAAAGAATCGTCATCTGAAGTGCCCCAGTCGTAAGATTTTTCCAAAGCATGCGAATCAGGATGATTCTGTTTAACATGAGGATAATAAGATTCCGGTTGATTGGTAGTGTATCCACACTCTTCACAAATGTAAATTTTTATTCTCCTCCTTTCCTTGTATGTGTGCGAAATACTATTGACTTCAAGGTCCAATGTGATATCAGATTTGCATGATGAAAATGTCGAGTCCAAAGAATCGTCATCTGAAGTGCCGTAAATGTCGTATAAGAATGATTGTTTATATTCACAAAACGATGATTCCAGGTCTTGAATGTCATCAGAATCACTAGTGGTATTCATTCCCTCGTCACTTAGGGTACTCGGTTGATAAGAAGAAGACGGTGATTGTTCAGGCACATAAAACACTGAAGATGGATCAGATTTGAATATATCGTCATCTGAAGTTTCCCAAACGTCGTGTAAGAATGATTGTTGATATTCACAAAACGATGAATCCAAGAGTTGACTGTCATCAGCCTCACTAGTGGTATCCATTGCATCGTAACTTGAGGCACTTGGTTGATATGAAGAAGACGGTGATTGTCCAAGCCCATAAAACACTGAGGATGGATCAAATTTGGCTTTCTCTCGCTCTTCAGCAAGTCTTTGGACACTAGCCTCAGCTAACACGTCAAGAGGAGAAGGGATGAATTGACTAGACATTTTCACTGATATTTCAACTAACTTAGTCGATCGATGAATTTTTAATGGTTGGCTCTTTGAATTTTTTAGCCCTTTTATAGTCGCCCATTCTCACCGCCCATTAATGGTTTAAACCGTTTATTTCGCCTCTACTCCCGCATGACCCCAGGTATCGAAACCTCTAGATCACTAATCCGAAGGAAAGGATTAAAGTATTAAGAGTCTTATCAATAATATACAGTGCTATTCCAACGTTAAGCAACCAATGTAAATATTGTCCGGTTTGTCCGGCTCAGTTCCTCAGATCTGTTTGTGAAGCCATTCTCAATTGTGAACATCTTCATTTCAATAAGCAAATATTTTTTTGCCAATCTTTCGAGTTAATTCATCGAGTAATTTCTCAAGTGGACTATAAAGGTGTCAGAGATATAATCAGATTTATGATCGAGAAAATCCACACAATTCCCATTGAGGCAAATATTGCTATGCTACCGCAATTAGATGTTATGCGTAAGGTAAATATTTATTATTAAAGATTTGTTTTAATTTGTTTTTATAATCGCATCATCTATATTCACATTCTTAGGTCTTGGATTATGCCTTGAACCGAAACTCTTCAGTATTGCCAGCCTATCTAGCTTTTGATGAAATTAAGAAAAAATCTGACAAATGGATGCATTGGGTAAGCAGTATTAAAATCTTTCTTAAAAATAGATTTGAAATTTTCTCATGATTTATTGATATTTTCAGAAATTCGCTGATTTATTTTCGGCTTTTGTGGAAAGCTTCCGTCCTGTTGCTCAGATGGTTTCAATCATTAATCGTTCCAAGCTCTTACCAATTGTTGGATATTCCTCAACCTTAAACCAATCTTGGCAATTGAATGCAGCCACAGCCGCATTCGACCTCAAAGGTCTTTTACCTTATAACAACGAGCTTACAAGACCTCAGATAGGCTTGTTGCGATATGTCTTGGAACAGCCTTATTCTCGTGAAATGATTTACTTTATGTTGAGTCTGACTAATAAAGCTAAATCCCGCTGTCCTATTCTTGAAGAACAATTGGTTGCATTGATTGTATTGGCAATGGAAAAGTCTGAAAATGAAACGAACAATCAAGAGGAAACTGACTATAGTCAAACTCAGTGCCTTTGGCAAATACTATCTGGCCATTTGATAACTTTCATCATACTAAACCATATAAGTTTTCCACAGCTTGTGCGAAGCCTTCATGAATCATTGGCTGCTCGAAATTCAAAAAAAGGACGAGATCATCTAATGTGGATGCTTCTTCAATATATTTCTGGTTCCATTCAGAAGACTCCTCTAACAGATTTCTTACCATTCTTCAAACTTCATGATTTACTCTACCCTGAAAAGGATCCTCTTACTGGTCCCGATATAACTAAACCTATCTGCACTCATACTTTCGCGATCAGTTCCATTTGGATTCATTTGTTAAAGAAAGCAGAAAATGAACCTCAAAAGGTGATAAGACCGATTCATGTTGAATTTCTTCACCAAACTTTTATGAGCAGTGATCTACCCGCCAATTTTGAATGATTCTTGAGAATGATCGAATCAATCCAATAGCATACAAAATTTTGGAGCCAAAGCTTTATCTTCTCATTTAAGAATCTTGGTGGACTATCTCGTTAATGAATTTACAAATCTCTGTGGGACTCAGAATGTTACTAAATATATTGATAAATTGAATGATTTAATTTGGAAGAGTCATGTCATAACTTTGGACAGATTACTTTTATGTCTGGTAATTATTTTATTTTGAAATTTTAATTTTACCATTCAGCGTTTCATAGATTAATAATTTGTTTTTACTTAACTTGATTTTCTTACAGACTCTGAGAGCTTACGAAGGTAATGAAGCTCAAGTTTCTTTGTTTTTCATTCAAATGTTATTGCTGAAAAGGACTGATTTTTCCAATCGAGTTGCTGATTTTGTCAGAGAAATGTCTCCGGAACACTGGAAGCAATCAAATTGGCACAGAAACCATCACGCTTTACACATAGTAAGACTTTTCAAGAAAATCTCAATGCGTTGTCTATGAATTAAGGTATTTTCAATTCTGAAATTCATTGACATAAATGATATTCATCTTGAAATTTCTCATTCGCATATCAATAATTTTAATCTTTCAATTACTTTTTTCACAGAAATATCCAGAAAAATTTTATTCCGCAGGACACGCAGATATCAGCGGTCAAAAGATGCAACATTCATATCTGCCAACTTATTTTAGCAATCATGGTCGAGGAATTGATATTTTCATTCAGCAAAAGGAAAATTGGAATCATTAAATTTGAAAAGTCTTTTGTCGTAAAATTTTGTCAAAGCAGGCGAATAAGGATGATTCTGTTTAAGATGGAGATAATGTGATTCCGGTTCATTGGTAGTGTTTCCACACTCCTGGCAAACTTAAATTTGTTCCTCCTGTCTGTGTGTGCATGTGTGTGCGAAATACCATGGACTTTAAGAGTATGAGATTCGAGAGAGCATCTTTGAGTGAATGATTTATCACAATGGTCACATTTGTATGGACGAACACCTAT